TCCAAGGTTCATCTGTGGTATGGTGTCTATCAGGACTTCATTTCTTTTTATTGCCAAGTAATATTACATTGTATGGGCATGCCATCTGTAGTTTATCCACTCGTCCATTTATGGAAATTTCAGTGGTTTCTATTTCTTGGCTATTATGAAGAATGCTGCTATGAATATTCATGTACAAGTTTTTGTGTAGACATATGTTTCATCTTTCTTGGATACATACCTAGGAGTGAAATTGATGGAGCATATGGTAGCTCTATGTTTAACTTTGTGAGGACCTGCCAGACTGTTTTCCAAAGCGGCTGCACTACTTTACATTCTCACCAGCTGTGCATGAAGATTCCAATTTCTCCACATTCTCACCAGCTAGTGATGCCTGTCTTTATTATGGCCATTCTAGTGGGGATGAAGTGGTACCTCATTGTGGCTTTGACTTGCATTTCCCTAAAGATTAGTGAAGTTGGGCATTTTTCATGTGCTTATCAGCCACTTGTGTACCTTCTTTGGAAAATATCTACTCAGCTTCTTTGCCAAGTAAAAAAGAAGGAAATCTTGCCATTTGTGACACGGATGGACCTGAGAGCTAAGTGGAATAAGTCACACAAAGAAAGACAAAAACTGTATGACCTCACTTGTGTGTGAAACCAAAAAAAAAAAAAAGCTCATAGATGCAAAGAAAAGTTGTCCGAGGTAGGAGTTGGGAGAGAAGCAAAATAGATGAAGGGGTTCAAAAGGTACAAAATTCTAGTTATAAAATAAACAAGTCCTTGGATGTGATGTACAGGATGGTGACTAGTTAACAACCCCTCAGACGGTAATATAATAGACAAGCGTTCTCTGAGGCCCAAGAGATGCCAGGCCCTGTGTTACCCACACCAGGCCCCTCCCAGGTCATTATTGATATTTCCACTTTATAGATGAGGAAACTGGCCCAGAGCACTTCAATAACTTGCCCAAAGTCACACAGCCAGTGAGGGACAGAGCTGGGATTGGGGCCCAGCCCGGACTCCTGCCACTGCCCCTCCTCTTAGCCATCATGCTCTCTCGCCTGTCTTATGAGTATCAGTCAGTCTTCGGTCTGGAGACAGAAGGACACGTTTTCTAGGTGGTTTTCTTTCTAACCTTCTAAATAACTCACAGCCAAACCAAAGGCAGACACACACTGACCAGAGAATGTGTCTTATTGTAAACTACGCCATTGGACTTCTTGGGCCTTTTTCACAGTATATGCATAATGGCTTTTTGTAATTATATAAAGTTATAGAACAATTCCCGGTGAGAGGCAGTGTGTGTCTGGCTCAGAGCAAAGATGAACTCCCCTGCCCGAGAATCCTGTCTCTGGCGCCCTAGCTCTGCGGGGCACATTTGTCAGCCTCACGGTGACTCGTCTCCTCCCTCGTGTGATGGTGACAGGAATCACAGGACCTACTGCCCTGGGGGGTCTGCGTTAAAGGGGCTCCGGCACAGAGAACAGCGCCTGGCACACAGAAAGACCATGGAAGGGCTCATGGGACATTCACAACGGTCCATAAACTTCCTGCTGATAGCAATGAATTGGGAGTATGCCTCGTCGCTCTTCTCTCTTTGGGTTACCTCTTTTCAAGATTCCTAAAAGTCTCATCAGAACTTCTGGTGCTTGAGGTAAATCATTTCAAAACTGTTTGTTAACTAGTGACTGAGGTAGGAAAGCAAAGTACTTGCTGAAATATAACTAAAAAAAAAATCTAACTTCAGTTCACAGCTTCCTGTGCTGCTCGTCTGTGACAGTTAGAAGGGAGGTAAGACTGTAGAGACAGTCAGGGGCTAGATCATTGAGGACTTTGGGTGACAATGGAAGGAGCCTCTACCCTAGGGGTTAGAGGAGACACTTGTCTGTTTAGGGCAGTGGTCGGCAAACTGCGGCTCACAAGCCACACGCGGCTCTTTGGCCCTTGAGTGTGGCTCTTCCACAAAATACCATGTGCGGGCGCGCACGTACAGTGTGATTAAAACTTCTTGGCCCACGTGTAGAAGTCAGTTTTCGGCCTGGGCGAGTCTGTTTTGAAGAAGTACTGTTGATATTTGGCTCCGTTGGCTAATGAGTTTGCCGACCACTGAGATAGACGAAACAAGTGTGGATGGGAGAATTGGAAGGGGTCGACCTCAGCGAACGTACCTCAATCAGATTGAGGACGTTTTTAGCAAAGGCCAGCTTAGGAGTACCCTAATTAAGTTAATAACAATGTACCTACCTATATAGTTTAACTTTAAAAAATTTGGCTCTCAAAAGAAATTGTAATCGTTGTACTGTTGATATTTGGCTCTGTTGACTAATGAGTCTGCCGACCACTGGTTTAGGGTATATTAACACAGCTGCGGTAATAAACACTCCCCCACACACAGATGCACGCACGTGCACACGCACAAATCACATATGTGGCTTAACCAATAAAACGTCCTTCCTCCCTGTACAAAGCCCATTGTGGATGCTGTCACTGCCAGTGGGACGCTGTCCTCCAGTGCTGATTCAGGCATCCCCACTCCTCCCACCCTCGGGAGCCCCTCCACACTCCCACCCTGGCTCTCCCCCCTCACCCACCCTGTGGCCCACAGGCCCCACCCCGCTACCGGTCTCCCCACCCACACCACCTGCCTTGGGCAGAGCGAGGAGAGGCTGGCATTCTCACTGGCACCACATTACAAGCCTGCAGACTGCTCCAGAGACCCCTAAATGTCCTCAAAGACAGAACCCTGTATCCCCAACTCCAAAGAGCCTTTATCTATCCCTAAATCCCATGGATGCATGGGAAAAACCTGGTGACCATGGTCAGAACCCAAGGAGAGGTCTCTGGCTGCTTTTTGGGGACCTGGGCCCACATTTTCTGGGAAAGAAATAAGACCCTAGTGCAGTGGTTCCCAATGTGGGGCACATGCCCCACAGGGGCAATTTGACTTTTAATGGGGGCAATTTGAGAATGAGTTATTAACAGTGAATTTTTTGCATTTCTATGGTTCTAGGGGCTTCATATACAGAATATAAATATATATTGTAACATATTTATGCCTTTCAGTTCTCTATTATGTTTTAAAACTTTGCTATTTTTTCATATCACTTCATATTATTTTTTAACAATTTCTTAGTGATTTCTTCCTCAATACTTCAACTGTCCTTTTGTTCATTTTTATTTTCATAGATACCATGTTCTTTGCAAGCTTGTTTAGACCAAGTTAATGGCCTTTTAGGCTTCCTGCACGTGAATAGGAGTTCACTTTTTGAATAATAAGAAATATAAGTCACTGAGGGCTCACCATGGGGGGAGGGAGGCGTCAGGATTTTAGCGATGCTTAGGTGGGGCGTGGGCAAAACCAGGTTGGGAGCCACTGCCCTCTGCCTGTAGCTCAGCAGCTGGCGGATCTGGCGAGATAAACTGGATCCCAGCTCTTTATCACCTTGGCCCCCCCTCTGTTGACTGACAGCTTGTTACTGTGTCTTCATTCCTTGCCTCACACAGCCTCGGGAGCAGCGGTTCCCACCCTCAGCCAGCCCGGGAGTCCCGGGAGGGCTGGCCACAACTCAGATGCTGCCCCCGCCCAGAGCTGCTGCCCACGGAGCCGGCGAACACTTGCTTCTCTAAGGAGTTCCCGGCATTTCTGAAGCTGCAGGTCCCAGGACGACGCTTTCAGAGCCGCCCCTGGAGGAAGTGAGGTCCGCGCTGCAGAAGGGACCCCTTACAGGCGAAGGCGCACTTTGAGTCAATGAATGGGGGGATGAAAACGAGCCGGAGGACAGTGACTATAATGAAGGACAGAGGAAGGACACTCCCGTTCACCAGACCCCATCTTGGGCCCGGCAGCGACCCGGTGGCGCCCCAGGGAGTCTGGGCTTGGTCCTTACCCCACCCTGCGGCCCACAGGCCCCGCCCCGCAGCCCGCCTCCGCGGCTTTTGTGACGTCACGACCCCAGGGGTCAGGAGAATGGTTGCTGTGGCAACGTAAACCAAAGGCCCGGGCGCTCTGAGCCTTGGAACCGCGACGCGGAAGCTTCGGATCAAGCCCGGTGCGCGAGGCTGGTGGGTGCGCCCGGGGCTGTGATGGGGGGCACGCGGGGTCAGGGTGAGCTCCGGACCAAAGCGCAAGACCCCTTTTGCAAGGCTCCCCGCCCCTCCCTCCTTGTCGCCATACTTGCTGTATCAGTCACCTAGACATCCCTCTGTCCTCGGTCCCCGCCGAGCTGGGTGGGGAGACAGGTCCTACTCACCCGGGCCTCCCTGGACTCCTGTCCGGGAGAACCGAGCAGGACTGTGGCTGGAAGGGCGCAAGCTTCGGAGTCAGGGAATTCTGGACTGGAATCCCCGCTTCGGCCCTTCCTGGCTGTGGGACTTGGGACACCTCTCCGGACCTCCACTTTGTTTCTTCCTTTGCAAAATGAAAAGACATTCAATGTTAAGGACGTGCCAGGCGCTCTGATACAGCTCAGAAAAGACACCTGTTCTCATGGAGCTTCATTCTAAGGGCAATACGCTAATTTTTTTTAAAGAGATAAACGACAGTGGGTAATTGCAGAGAAGAAAATAAAGTGAGGTCACATGGGGATGCGGGTAAAGAACCCACTTTAGATGGGGATGAGGAAGGCTTCTCTGAAGGGGTGACCTTTGAGCTCAGATCTGAAGAGAGTGAGGGAGCTGGGTGTGGGAGGACAGTTTGGGCTGAGGAGGCAGCAAATGCAAAGACCTTGGGGCAGAGCATGGTTGGTGTGTTCTCGCGACAGATAGAAGCCAGTCAGAGAGGGGGGAGAGGATGGGGTGGGGGGGGTGGGAAGAGAGGGAGCTGCATGTGTTGGCCCCATGGTGAGCCCTCAGTAAATGCCAGCTGTTCTCAGCCCTGGGGCGGAGGGCGGTTGTGGGCCTGGAGACCATCTGGCTCAAGCTTCATGTCATTCCCCAGGTTGGAACCTCCTCTAGCCGAGGTCCGGTTTTGCAGCAAGCCCTTGTTCCTCTGCAGGAACGTCCAAGGTCCTGTCTACTATGGTCTCCAAGGTCATGGCGAACACCAGTAAGTACCCAGTACCCAGCTGGCATGGGCTCTCTCCGGGCCCAAAGGCAGCCTTGGGAGCCTGGGACAGTGAGGTCTAGACTTAATCCAGGGTTCAGGTGATGCTAAATCAAGCCGTGAGGTAGAAATCAGTTTGCCAGGTTCCTTAGAAACCCCATGTACCAGAGTCCTAAGGTTGCCAGGACAAAGTACCAAACAGACTGGTGACTTAAACAGCAGAGATTTATTGTCTCGTGGCCTGGCCCTTGGGGTATATCTATCTCCCAGGCCCTCCCTTTCCCTTCATCATCCCAGCTCACCCTCCTCCACACTGGTCCCAGAGGACCAGCTCCCTGAGCTTTCCACCAAAGCACACCTCTATGCTCTCCAGCAGCCCCCATCCATCTGCCCTCAGCGCCGGCTGCCCTCCCAGGCTGGCGTAGACTGGCATCTCCAAGCTACAAAAGATTCCCAAGTTGGGGTTGAAGGAAGCGTGGGGCCAAATGCCTCCTTCCCTGTGGGTATCCGTGGAAGAGAGAACAAGGAAATGGGGGTCTCTGAGGGCCCAGCCCTGATGGAAGAACCTGGTCAGCTCACAGCAAAAGCACTGGCAGGCCAGGAAGAAGACCTTAGGGCCGGGACCTCCCTGTATAACCCGGTGCTGCTCTTTGGGGACAAACTGAAGGGTGTACAAGGGAAGGCGCCTTCTGTGTGCCAGGAACTACTGTGGCCATTTTCTTGCACAATCCTTACAACTTCCCAGCAAAGTCAGCATGATTATCTCAGATATGGAAACTGAGGCTCAGAGAAGCTGAGTGGCTTGCCAAGCCCACTCAGCAGACAGGTGAGGATGCTGGGGCCGGAGCCCTAAAGTGTGCCGAGCCGGCACGGCCATGGGTGAGCCTGGGCAGGGGCGGTGAAGGATGGAGAAAAGACAGACAAGAAAGCTGAGGCTGGGTGGGACGCTCCTCTCTGATGGAGAGACAGCGCCACAGCCTGCAAGCCGAGTCTTTATTTTATAGCCAGGTTCCACGGGGCAAAGTAAGGGCGTAGTCAAGATGATTACAACGTGGGTTTCGAATCTACTCAATTACATGCACCTGATCAAGCTTTGTTTACTTGCTGCACCTCCCGCAGCCCATATCACTCAGCCACGTGGGACCACAGGTTCGGACCATAGGTTCAAGCTTACAACCCTAGCCCCTGGCTATAACTGTGCTGGGACTTGCGCGTGGTTTTTCCACGAGAGGATCGTGCCCTCTCATTAGTCCCAGGCTTGAACCTGTCTGAACGCTGTGGCCACTTTCCACACTAAAGCATGTCTGCGTCTCTCCCCGGCCTCACGCTGTGTTCACAGCTATCACAAAATATGTCATTTTCTGTGGCCCTCACTTTTGTGTCTCCCCAGAGAACGGCCTGGAATCCACAGACGAGAGCTCTCCTTCAGTCATTGAAGAAAAGAAAAAGAAACATAAGAAAAAAGGCAAAGGTACCTCTGGAGCCGGGAGCTGAAGTCCCAGGTGGTGGGGGGCACACGCTCTCCCTCAGATGCCTTCAGGCCTGGTCTTCAGTGTGAAGGGCAGAGGCCATGCTTCTGTGTCCATGAGGAGACGGGTTACTGAGACCTGAAATAATGGGAACATAAAGTAGGATGTGTTCCTCCAGGAATGGGAATGTGGGAAGCAGGCCACAGCTCCATAAGCTCCACCAACAGCAGTTCTACAAAATCATCCAGGCGGCCACACCCTACGTCTTTCTCCCACTGTCTTTCTCTGTAGGCCTTTCAACCGCAAGGTTGTCACATGGTCACAAACTGGCTGCTGCAGATGCAGCCATCACATCTCATTCCGGACAGGGAGAAGGATTGAAGAGAAGGGCAGAACTGCCTGCCTGCCACTTCAGCCCTCCCTCCCTGGGAAAAGATCCTTCCCAGAATCTCCACCCAACAATTTCTGACTACTTTTTTTGGGGGGGGGAGGGGGCAGGGGGAGTCACAGGGCCATTAGGATCTGCAAGGGAGGCTGGGAGTATAGCTTCCAGCTAGGCACATGGCTGCCATCTATTAGGAAGAAGGGTAGGCAGCTAGCTGCATATGCCTCATCCTCTGAGCCCCTGCTCTGTCACTCCGCACCCTGGCTTCCAGGACTCCCTCCTGGTTTCTGTGCTGCCCCCACCCACCCCCAAGACTCCTGGGCTTACAGGCCTGCCTGTCCGGTCTTCCCGAAGAGCTGTGCAGATGTGAGCATGTTCCCTGCACCTGTCATTCACAGGCCAGCTCCCACCCCTCAGCCCACCCCGCCCCCATTTCCTCTTTCTTTTAATTATTAAAATCCCACCCTAGCTGGTTTGGCTCAGTGGATAGAGCGTCTGTCTGCAGACGGCAGGGTCCCAAGTTCGATTTCGGTCAAGGGTACATGCCCTGGTTGTGGGCTCGATCCCCAGTGGGTGGCATGCAGGAGGCAGCCGAGCACTGATTCTCCTCATTGATGTTTCTATCTCTCCCTCTCCCTTCCTCTCTGAAATCAATAAAAATATATCTTTTTAAAATAAAATAAAATCCCAACCTGCCCACAAGTAGAGACTAAAGCCCAGTGAACTCACATGAACTCACATGCCTATCACCAGATTGGGCAGTGGGCAAGATTTTGCCACTTTTGCTTCATCTATCCCTTTTCTCCTTTTCTTTTGAGTCTTTGGCAAAATATAGGTGTCCCAGAAAAATGTATACACACACTTTGAATGATTACAAAGGCAGTGTTTATTAAAATACATGTCATTTTCAAAATTGAGCTATCAGCTGTTAAAGTGTATGTACATTTTTGGGGGGGATACCTTGTATTTTAAAGTAAAATCCAGATGTGTCATTTCATCCCTATATACCTCAATGTGCATTTTTCAAAAACAGGAACATTTTCTTACAAGCCCACAATGAAGTGAACCAGACCACCGTCAGATTTACCCCACTATCTAAGAAATGTCTCCCTCCAGAAGATTTCTTTTAATCGGGATTCAAATGAGATTGGAACATCTTCGGTCGCTTTTGATCTAGCACAGCCACTCCCCCACGGCCTTGCATTTTCTGTGCCTGGAGTTGTTGAAAAACTGGTTTTAATGATCCTGTAGAATGTCCTTTATGATGGCTCTGCTTCCTGGTGCAGTCGTTGTAATGACAGGAACATCTCTGTGCCCCATATTTCTTTTAATTGGACACTAGATGTTTGATAGGATGGATCCATGTCCCTCTGTGTCCACAGACTCCTTCCTAGGTGGGCTGTGTGCTTCCTACCCCCTTTCATTAGAAGCCCACACACCCAGCTGCCTCCCCATTGGCCATGCTCCAATGGTAGGTGCAGTGTTAGCCACCTGACCCTCCATCACAGCTCCCCCTCAGCCATTCACCCAATAGTTTCTTCTGCTTATGGGTGCTTGTCCCCTCACATAAGGGTGAGGGCCCTGGGTTTTGGATTTGTTTTGTTTCCTCACTGAGATATAATTAATATACAGTGAAAAGAACAAATCTCTAGTATACAGTTTGATAATTTTTTTTTAGTTTTATTGCTTTTTAGAGAGGAATGGGGGAGAGAGAGATAGACATCAATGTGAGAGAGAAGCATCGATTGGCTGTCTCCAGCATGGACCCCAACTGGGAACCAAACCCACAACCTGGGTATATGCTCTGACTGGGAATCGAACCCACCACCTTTTGGTGTACAGGAAGACGCTCCAATCAACTGGGCTGCACCAGCTAGGGCCAGTTTGTACATTTTGACAGATGAATACAAATTCTTACCCTCCACCCACTCACCATCTGGAACATTTCCATCTGCTCAGTTCTCTTTCCCCCAAAGGCAGCTGTCTATCAGGGAATCTGCTATCCAGGAATCACTTTATTCAATCTCGGGCCTCACGTGTATGGAACCACTCAGTGCTCTTTTGATCTGGCTTTCTTTACTCGCCATCATGTCTGTGAGACACATGCCGCGGGTGTCCCTGCTCTGTTGCTGTGTGTATTCTGTGCGTGCATATGCCAGCAATGATTATTCTCTCTAGAATTGAAGCACATTTGGGTGGTTTCTGTGGATTTTAGCCATTACAGATAATAGTACGATGCATTTGCAGTCAGATGAGTAGGGGATGTTTAGTATTCCTGTGAAGACAATCTGTGTTAATGTGAAGATGAGCCCACAACCAAGAATGGCAATCATTTGAAGCCAGTCATCCCAGAAATGCAATTATTCTAACATTTATAAACCAATGTGGTACATACCCCATTAGAGAATGAGAGAGAATTATATCATTTCAATAGATGCAGTATAAGTATTTGATAAAATTAAAAACATTTTGAATAAAAGTCTTAGCACCTAGGAATAGAGAGGTCTGATAAAGGGGACTGAGGTGGACTGAGGAGGGACCCCCAGAGACGTCCGCATCTGAACCCCCAAGCCTGTGACTAGGTTCCCTTATATGGCAAAGGGGACTGTGCTGGGGTGATGATGGGAAGGGTCTGGAGATGGGGAGAGGACCCGGGACTATTCAGATGGGGTGCTCAGTGTCATCCCAAGGGTCCTTCTAAGAGGGAAGCGGGGGCGGGGGGCGCACAGAGGGGGAAGGTGTGACATGAGAAGCAGAGGTTGGGGTGCAGGCCCTGCTCCCTCCTCAGGAACCAGGCTAAGGCTGGAGGCCCTCTGACTCCCTCCCGTCAGTGGGCCAAGGAGCAGATAACCTTTATCCTTCCCATTCTGAGCGTAGCTCAATTTTCTCAACTCCGTGTTTTGAAAGGATTTAAGTCTTACAGAAAAGTTGAAAGAATAGTACAAAGATGCAGAATGCCCATGACTTTAGGCTTTTCCGAGCCCTCCTCGGGATGGACTGCAGATGAAGCGTCCTGGGCAGGAATGCCTGAGCAACGCGCTGGGCTCCCCTGGAGAGAGTGCCAGCTCCTCTCTCCCGCCAGTGCCCACTCCGGGCGCTTGCGTGACGTGGGGCCCGCCAGGCTTCCCCGCAGCACAGCCCCTTTTCTCTTGGGAATAGTGTCTTGTGCAGAGGTATTTTGAGACGATCATAACTCTGAACCCCTTTAACGGTGCCCTCCTTTGCTGGTGGGGGTGCAAAATGAGATAGACCTCCCTCCAGAGGCAGGTCAGCGCGTTTCTGAAGCCTGGAAACTGCCCTCTGCCCTTGGCCTCTAGTCTGCCTTTGGAAAATCAGTTCCCAAGAACCGGCCCGTGGGGGCAGTGATGTCCTCAGGATGTCGGGGTGCTATGAATTGTTACACATCCCAGGGCGAGTGCACCCTGATGACACGGTGTGTCACTGCAGCCCTTAATGTTTGCTTACAAGGTCCACAAAGAATTAGTACCTTCACAGGGAACTGCTGATGTTAAAGTGTTCTTTTTAAAGGAATATATGGAACTATTAAAATTGTATGTTGAAAAGTACTAGAAGAAAACACCCTCAGAAATGTTACCAGGGGCTAATTCAAAGCGAAGTTGTTTTTTATTTTATCTCATTCTCTTTCACTTTCAAGAATGTTTTGTTTTGTTTCCAATGAACCCTGTTTCTTTTCTATCAAGGGTGTGTGTGTGGAGGGGGCGGGGGGAAGCAACCATATTAAGTCCTTTGTTTGGTGCCTTTTGGCTTCTGTCCTCCCTGACATGCTCTGAGCTGAGCTGTAGGAACCTCTCCCTAAGCCCTGGGGGTGGGGGTAGCAGAGTTGGGGTCCTTGGTAGTCCTCACCTCCCAAATTCTTACACTGCCTCTCCAGGCCTCAGCCACATTGCCCTTACCCCCCCCCCCCAAGCCCAGTCTTCCCCTGGGCGGGGGTGAGGGGGGTGGGGGGTGCGCTGGTGAAGACTCCTGCAAGGACAAAGCATATTCACCTAGAGTGCTCACTTCCCACTGACAGGCAGGCGCCTCAGCACTGGAGTCAGCAGGCTCTCGCTTCCCCCCTCCACACAGTAGGAGTTCCTGAGACTTTAAATGAGAGGACAGAGGGCCAGGGACATAGCACATGTCTGAGACAGGGGGGGCTGTGTTCAGCAGGTCTCTTTCAGGTGCCAGGAACAGAAGCCCAACGCCAACTGGGTTGAGTTTACGGAGCTGGAAGGTCCAGGAGTGGACTCCAGGCACAGCTGGGCCCAAGAGAACACTTGCCACTTGCTCATGCTTTCAGGAAGCTCCCTATACTGGGCTGGGAGGGTGCTGGGACCCAGAGGCACAGGCCTCAGCTTGGAAGAGCTGGCTCCTCTCTCCAATGAGGTATTTCCCTCCCCAGTGTCTGTGGTTGTTCCGGACCGTTCAACCAATCCTTTCCATTTGTCTGGGAACGTGGATTTCTTCCTGCTCAGAGATCAGGAGCGGGATAAGTTTCACGCAGTGAGTATGTAGGACCAAGGCCTGCCCCAGCGCTTTCTTCCCTTACACAAGCAGCAGCAGCCAGATTTCCGAAGAGCACTTTCCCCGGTCACTCTCACTCTAGAATGGCTCACCATTTCCTACAAAATAACCTGGAAACTCCCCCTGGCTCTCAGGTCTCTGACCTGTCCCACGGTCACCCAGTTTCATCACCATTGTGCCTGGGCCTTTGTCAGGCTGGGCTCCTGGGAGCTGCTGTGGCCACAGCGTCTGCTACCACGCCTTTGCTTCTGCTGTCCCTTGCCAGAGATGCCATCCCTTTATGAGGCTTTTCCTGTCCTTCAAGGCCCATCTCAGACCTCAGAGACCCTCTCACCTCCCCCAGGAAATCCCCCCCACAGCTGGCCCCCACTGCTCTTGCCTTGCACAGTCCCCTGGTTGGAACTCTTAGAGGCCAGATATGCACACAGGCATGCACACATGTGCACATACACATTGCCTGCCCCTTAGTAGTGCCTGGGAGTCCCGGGGCCAGGCCTGATACCCAGGCTGTGCCTTGTCTCCACCCCAGCATAGTCTCTCTTGCTTCCCAATCCCAAGAGCCCATGTACCCAGACAGCTGCCCGCCCCCCCCTCCACCTACACCCACACACATCCACCCTGCCGCGGCATGGCCAGCCAAAGCAAGCCTCATTGCAGCCAGGCGTGGGGAGAGCTCACCAGGTATGCATCTTCCCTGGGAAGTGGCTTGTGCTGGCCATACTCTCATGGCCAGTGTCTCGGGCTCCTTCCTGGGCTGGCTCTGTCTACCCCACTTCAGGGCTCAGAGTCTGAGATTGCTTAGAGCTGTGGCTTCCACTGCAACTCCAACCGGTACTGACACCCCAGACCTCAGGCCTAGAAACTCTGGGAGGGCCACCATCCATCGATGTTCCCCCGACTCGTGCCATGCTGTGCACCCACTCATGCCCTGGAAGGAAGCACATGAGAAGCCACACTGAGCAGCTCCCACTTCCCTGAGACCTCCAGAGTAGGGAGATATTGCAAACACACGCCCAGACTTTCTCTGACCTTGACTTAGCTCACCAGTGCAGAATTCCATGTTCTTCTGCCAGCTTGGCCCTGCTTCGGGGCTACCTCCATCTTCTTCCAAAAGCCCCTGCAACCTCACCCTCCACCCCACGCCCCAGCTGAGCTCCCCAACCTCACACTCCTCCCCAACCTGCCCCACGGAGCCCCCCAACCTCACCATGATCAAAAGCAGCTACCCAATAACTTCTAAACACAGGTCTTCAGCCACAGGGATTCTAGAGGGTGACATTTTCCCAGTTTTGTTGTTATACAGGGCTCACACCGGATCCTGCCTCAGCTAGGTTTTCCCTAAGCAGCGTTCTTTAGAGGCTGGATTGGATTTTGCACCTTTCAGGCCCAGTAGGAAATAGAACTACCCAGGAAAGGCCGAGAGAAGAGTTCACATGAGGCCCATCTGACCCAGCCCACCCCATGAGGGATGTGGAGACCCCCGGGTGTGAACAGAAGAGTCAGGGCACCCCAGAAGCCAGAGATCTAAACAAGGCCTCTGGGAAGAAGAGACCCCAACCCCCCTCCCATCCTGGGATCCTCCGAAGTGAGAGGCTGGGCCACAGGTCAGGGCAGGTGGAGAAGAGGTGGGAGGCGCAGAACCCCAGTGACAGCACGGCCCCGACACTGGCCGACAAGGTTGCAGATCAAACTCAGGGTTTCAAGTTTCTTCTGGAAACTCAGATCTAATTTCCCTGGACCTTGGCATGTTGGATTTAACAAATCACAATACAAGTTTAAGTGTGAGTTTCAGATACACCAAGAGTCATCTTTTAGTAAGTGTGTCCCTGAACTACTGATCCAGAATGCACATCACTTGGCAGGCAGCCTGGTCTGATCTGGCTGCCCTCCTGCACCTGGCTCTCCAGAGGCCAGTCCTGCCCACTCCCTCTGAAACGGGGCAGTCGTGGGCAGAACCCCAAGGTGCTCCCCCCCACACACAGCTCCACCATCTTTCCTGCGCTTGGCACATGGGCCCCCCCACCCGACCAACTAAGTGCGAACCACCTCAAGTCCATACGGCCGTGGCATGGGACAACGCAGGAGGAGGCAACCGGGCCCAGGAGAAGGGGAAGGTTGTGGGGAGGCTGGCACTGGGAGGCCTCGCCTGATTCGCCCGCCCCCCAGGAGCGGCAGAAGAAGAAGATGCTGCAGTTGCACCAGAAGATGACCTACTCATCCAAAGTGTTGGCCAAGCACACCAGCCTGCTGCATGAGCTGCAGCTGCAGGACCGGGCTGATGACGAGGACGCGCGTGCCCTGGCCGAGGCCCAGCAGATGAGCGCCTTCCAGGAGGACCACACCGCCTGGAAGCTGGCCATGACCAAAGGTACTGCTCCTCTCTCCCCGACATCGGGTCTGTGCCTCCAGGCGAGGGTAGAGCTGCAGTGGAGGGGCTGCAGTGCCGTGGGGGGGGGGGGGTGCTTTCCTGTCTGACCCCTGCCTCCCGAATCACAAAGACCAGGTCCAGGTGGAGTGCAAATCTAAAAGCCTCTGGACCCCAGTACTGCATGCACTCTGCGTGCTGATGAGGCACAAGTGCAGGTTGTATAAATACAGGCATTTAACATGGGGATAAAGAGTCGGTGTAGAACTGATTGCCTGGGTTCAGATCTCAATGGCTGCTCCATCCTGGCCAAGTTAGCTAACTCCTTTCCTGAGTTTCCTCTCCTGGCTGATGACAGTAGCGACCTCATGGTTGGGGGGTTCAACCTCGTCAAACACAGCACATTGTGAGAAAGAACTGTGTGTGGGTGTGTGTGTGTGCATGTGTGTGTGTGCGCATGGGCAGTTATTTTTGTAACCCAGTAGGAAATCTACAGTACTGAAAGTGAATTAATATTCTACCAACCCAGGTGATAAAGTCTACTATCACTCGGCTAGAAAGTAGTAGTTGGGATCAGAGAGTTCTGGAACCCCCGGGGCTACCGGTGTACTGGATATGAATATACACGTAAGGAGACCCCAGTCTCCACCCTGACACCGTGGCTTGTTCTGTGGGGTAGGAAACCCTGTGCTTGCTCCGACGATTGTGCGCCAAGCTCTGCGTGGGGGGAGCAGCACGGCATGTGCTTTCTTTCTGCCTTCGTCCTCTATTCCTAAGCCCTAGGAGAGGCAGGTGGCACCTGGATGGGGAAGCCTGGACCCAGGGTGCTTGGACAAAAGACTTGTCAGTGTCCAGCTTTGGCTTCCAGTGAGGAGCTGGGTCTCCTTGAGGGCAGGGACTCCCCCAGGGTGGACCAGGAGGCAGGGGCCTAGTGGGTTCGCTGCCAGGCATCTAGACCTAAAGCAGGACCCCTGCAGCACACCAGCTTTTGGAAAGGAGAGGACTGGAGGGAAAGACAGAGCCACGCGGTTCCACAGTCCTTCCCACAGTCTCTGCGCTCTCCAAAGCTGGGGAGTGTTTAGGTCTCCCTTTCCAGAAAGGCCCAGAAAAGAGCCCCCACAGCCTGTGCTGCCTCTCTGCTTGTCCTCTGGAAGGTCATCCAGGAGCTCACCCTCATGTCCCCCGACCTGGGGAAACCCTGGCAGTGCATACTTAGCTGCTGCCTAAATTGGGCCCTGGGGGCTTAGGGCACCCCCGGTTGAGAGCATCCTGCCACATTTTTCTCTCAGGTCCTGGGCAATAGGCCTTCTGTTATGAAGTCCAGTCGGGTGAAACTTCCAGGGTAGCGGTGTCCAGAGTCTCATTCCAGGTGAGAGGAGCGCAACAGCAAGAGAGGCTCTTCCCACCTGGACCCGCTGCAGGCATGGAGGTGTGACCTATCAGCTGGGCCGTCTCCGCCTTTGCAGGAGACAGGGCTGGCTCTCCCACGCCCCCTGTGATAGTGCTGCATTGCACCAGGAGCAGCTGACCAGCCCCCCCTTCCTGTGCACCCATCCTCAGCCACACCTGAGTCTCTCTCCCACTGCCCACCCCCCAGATGCCTCCCTCCTCTCATTGCAGAAAAGAAAGAGGGTTCTGACAGCATCTACAAGTACATCAACCAGAAGCGGCAAATGTTCCTCCTCCAGGTAGGCCCGTCTGCTCCCTTGAAGGGGACCTGGGTGGGCTGTCTGGTGGGGAGTGTAATCCCTGCTCTGGTGGCCATTAGTATGCCCTGGATATGAAGCGGAGCGAGATCCAGCGGTTGGAGATGCTGGCAACAAAGGAGGAGGCAGAGCTGGAGCGGGCTGAGAAGTCCCTGGAGAAGGATTCGACCCTGTTCGATGAGTTCCTCAGGGAGAATGACCGCAGCTCAGTGCAGGCCCTGAAAGAGTGAGCCTGTGGCCAGAGGGGCTGGTTGGCCATGCCCCCAGGGTCCCCTGGGCCTGTGCAAACCACCCGACCTAGCCTGCACCCAGCCTCAGCCCCCGCCTCCACCCCTGACCCAAACCAGACTTCTGGGAGCTCCCCCACCTCCAGCCTGGCCTGAGAGCGGTTTGGCCCCTTTAACAGTCTGAGATTGGCTCCCTGCCCCACCCTACCCTTCAGGGCAGAAAAGGAGACCAAAGTGAAGATAGAGAAGATCACTGAAATCAGAGATCTGACCACCCAGATCATGAATATCAAAAGGTAAGGTCAGAGGCTGCCTGGTGGGCGTGGCTCAGTGGTTGAGCATGGACCTATGAACCAGGAGATCACGGATCAATTGCAGCCAGGGCTCAATCAATCAATGATGCTCTCTCATCATTGATGTTTCTATTTCTCTCTTCCTCTCCCTTCCTCTCTGAAACCAGTAAATAAATAAATAAAAATATAAATATTTTATTTATTTATTTATTTATTTATACACTGAGTGGCCAGATTATTATGACCATCTGATGTTTGTAGGCAAATTAGCTGTACACTGCATCGTCTGGGATATGGAAGCCTGTTCGAACACCTTTGCTGTCTGCAGTTACCAAGATAAAGCATCTCCAATTCGCACAGGAACACAAGGATTGGACAGTAGAGCATTGGAAAAGAGTTATGTGGTCCGATGAATCACATTTCCAGTTGCATCATGCAGATGGCAGAGTGAGAATTTGGCGGAAACTGCATGAAAGCATGCACCCCACATGCATTAGTACAACCCTTCAAGCTGGTGGGGGCAGTGTTATGGTTTGGGGCATGTTTTCCTGGCATGATTTGGGCCCTTTAATTCTTGTGGAACAACATCTGAATAGCACAACATACCTAAGTATCGTTGCTGATCAAGTTCATCCTATCATGTTGATGGCATATCCCAATGGAGATGGCTTCTTCCAACAAGACAATGCACCATGCCACGGTGTTCGTATTGTGCAGGAGTGGTTTCAAGAACACGAGGGAGACTTTACCTTGCTTAGGTGGCCCCCACAATCACCAGATCTCAATCCAATTGAGCATTTGTGGGACGAAGTTAAAAGAGCCATCAGGCAGCTGGTTCCACAACCATCAAATCTCACAGAACTGGACGGTGCTATTCATCAGGCATGGTGTCAGATTCCTTGCATCACCTTTCAACATCTCGTGGAGTCAATGCCAAGAAGAATCGCTGCAGTATTGAAGGCAAAAGGTGTCCCAACGACGTACTGATGGGGTG